AAAAACATTCGTACGAGTATCTAACATACTCTGACACCTGGAAAAAAGATATTAATTAAAGCTTTGCGAGCACACCGACACACATAAATATATCCCGCATGCCATTCCCGCGAGAGAGAAGCCGCCGACGGTTCGTAAAAAGGCAAACCCCGCCAATATTATCCTCGCGAAGGCGCATCCCTTACCGTCGATGCGCGTCGTGTCCTGTCAACGTCGGCTGTAAATATCAATAAACAAACCACCGCGCCCGAGCGCGATCTGCTCTTTCCGGCTGGCTAAGCCGGTCGACCAGTTGAGCGAAATAAAGTATGTCGAAACCGGGTTTTAGCGCTGCTGGCCTTTGTCGGGCGCCATCTCTACTCGGCGCAACCGGCGAGTTTTTCAGCGAGCAATTAGAAAGAGATTTATTTGCGCCGGCACGCCGGGCGCACGCTCGCCGACCAAGGGCTGCTGATGTTGCCGCGGCATATTTTTCGCGATGAATAACGCGTATGCATAAGATATCTCGGGATCTTCCAATAACAGCTGCTTGAAACAGTAAAATCGATGTTTCTTTAAATATTGACAAATATCGGATGTACTGTATTTCGTATTGATCGCTTGTTATAGTTATTTCTTTAATTATAAATTTATCAATATACAAAATAAACTTATACTAATTATATGGATACTCTCAAATTTAAAATAACACAAAGAATTTCAAGACCAATGAGAATACAGTGCAATGCGCAACTTCGTATCAGAACTTTTATCCCATTACAGGCAAGATGACATTTTCATAATTAATTTTAATTTGAAATTGAACATTTCGACTCACTTTAGAGTTCTCCTTATAGTAATATAAATACAGAGATATCCAAATGATTCAACAGCCTAGATAAAATCACAAATTCTTAAAAATGTTAATAAATCGAAAAGATGTCAAGAAACCTTGGATAAATTAAAATTTATCAAAATTTGGATGTTTTTCCGAGAGAAATTTTAATTAAAAAAAATCTGTCATTAAAATTAAGTAGGAGGATTCTGAGACTATATGTATATATATATATATATATA